TAGAAGGATTTGAATAGAAGCGAAGGCGGTTTACATTTCAAATATAATCTTGTCTGCCGCTTTGTAAATATGACGCTCCGATTACGTCTGGAGGTTACATTTTCGGCATTACAGTGAAACCTGTATTAAGCGGACCCATATTAAGCGGACGTCCTCTATATAACGGACACCAGCTTGAATCCCAAAATTTTCCATCCCCATTTACTGTAAAATAAACCTGCATTCAGCTCAGCAGACACCTCTGTTAAGCGGACGCAGACACCAATCAGTTAAGCCATTTTGTTGTGCAAAACCTGCGATAAGCGGACACTCTCGGCAAGGGCTTTAATCAGTTCAGACTCCTTTAAAATTGTTCAGCGATGTCGTTTTAAAGCTAAGTAGATTATTTCAGATTGATATATTGACTGACTGGACATTGTGCTATGAGCAGACTTTGATCTTACACTGTGTTACACTGAGTTATAAAAGGGTTAATAATTAACTATTGTTGCACAATATATAAGAACCTGCTTAAGGTCATTCCCCATTATTGCAGTTCGCATCCCTACTGTACATAATTTCACCCGTGATTAGCGCGGGTACATTAAAAATGGCGGCTTTTTCTTTACAGCTGGACCTCGCCATAGAGGTAAACCGTCATTTCCTCGAAAACGAGTGCGATGACCTATCATTTTTTTCTGTTGTTTTGAATTGAGTAACAGATTTCTCTCCGTAAAATAAATAAGAACCAATTCTCAGTGTAGAACAAGAAACAATCGTCGGAAATGTGAATTTAGCATGCAATCGTGGCTATAATGGTGCTATTATAAGGATTTATTGGGTACAAACAAGGTGCTGTTGCTCCTAAACGAACATGGGGACCCCTCATTTTTCTTTCAAAATAAGTTCTTATAATATAAACAATCAATAGGCAAAGTTTGACAATAACCTCAGTGCAGGTTCTATTTCAGTGGAATGACCTTAAAGCGGACACTAGTGAATGTCCCAAGGGTGTCCCCTTAAATACAGGTTTCACTGTAACTATTAACTGTCATCGGGGGAGACATTCTCGGGTTCCATAACGGCCGCGCGTTAGAAGAGTCAGTTATATGAAGATAATAACTCGTGACGTTATCGGAGCGTTACATTTACAAAGCGGCAGACAAGATGATATGGGGAACATGTGGCCTTCGCTTCTAGTAAAATCCCTTCTTAACGGCCCAAAAAGACCCAGGAACACAGGTAAATAACAGTACATATATTTTACAAGAATGCAAATGATTATGTTATTGCTGATACAGTGTTCAGTTCCCCTGTGATGTGACCTTCGACACCGGGGAATCAAGTTGCATTTGTTATCACTAAGAAAAAGCCCGCAATTAAAAAACTTTTGCTTTCTCGAAACGGTGTTGTTATATCAAATTATCCTTAAATAGTTTTTCTGCTTTTCTAACTGGCCGACGTCTTTCCTGCAATCGAGTTTGGAATCTTCTTAAAGAAGCCAAGTTTACGAAGGAGAGATTAGTTAACTAAATCAAACGTTCGAACTATATAGTCTATTAACCGTTTCCCCCGGGCCGCTTCCACTTTGGATGCGCCGTACGGACACAACTTCGCAAAAGACCTCGGTTTCTCGAAGGAGACGAATAATTTCATCCTTTTTGCTCTCGTCAATCTCGAGAGTTACCTACGAAAAGAGAGGCACCAAAACAATTCGTGAAATACAGGTCTAGAGGCTAACAACAGCACAGGGAGAATCGATGTAACAGAAAGTGATGTGTACTTACCCGCACGCGTTTTTCTGTGGCAATGTCACCTCCACCTAACATTTTACAAACACTTTCCACGCTTCAGATATTCAGATATTTCTTCATTAGCACCGTACGTAGTAACAGCAGATGTAAGAGACTTGTGTGCATCGCGACCCGGAGATGTTGACAGCTCCGTGTCTAAAAAAAAGTTCGCTAAGTCCAAGGCTCCTTATATAGCGCGGGTCCTAAGATATCCGTTCTCCTATTGGCTGCAGAGAAAACAGCGCAAAATTCAAAATACTCTTACAGAAGCAGTTTTATCATTCTATACTGGCAGAGGCCGAGACACAAAGCAATAGGGGATTTCTAAGGTAAGGACTTTAGTTAATAGATATACTGAACAAATCTGAATAACTTATCAAACAGTGGACTCCATCACCCTTTGCTAATAAGATTTTAAAATCATGTGATATATTTTTATGCACGGTAGTCAGAAGATCACTATCGACTGCACTGATCAGCTAGCTATTGACGCAGGATATATAAATCTTTTGAAATCTTTCTGTAACTAGTAAAACCTACAGACTGCCCCGAAGTCATGATGACCGACTTTATGATAGCAGCGTTTAAATGATTTCACACCACGGTCCATAATGTTTATTAGATTTTATACTTCAACCCGAAAGCGATGAAACTGTGATTATTAATGCACTGTACCAAAATAAACTAAGATAAACTCTACAACATAGAACACCCAGGATTCAGTAAGTATAACAACAATTGTTGAGTTCTCGTTTATTTCAAACTCTTGAATAAATCGGATTTGACGTTTGTTTTATCATATCGCGCGCGGATATGAATTGCGCCAAAACTTGATCGGGAGTCTTCCCAAGCCTACGTATGTCGAACCGTTATGAACAACAGAGTGGAATTTGCATATCATTTCATAATTGCATATATATACAGCCAGTAGACTGAAATCCTAAAATAGATATGCTTTCCAAGCTCGTTTCATCCGATGTAGTAGAATAATAATGATAAACAAAATGGAGGTCAAATCTACCGTGACAATATTAACGTAATTTGCATATGGCGGGTCAAAACCGGAAGCTGCATTCTCCTAATCAAGCAAACACAGCAACGGCACATGGATGATCAACGCAAACTTCCCTAAACGTAAAACAAAGGCCGAGCTTTCACATCTCAACAGCACGGCCTGCGTAACAAAAATTTCAAGATATTTTTAAGTTAGAAGTTAATAGTGAAGATGACCTGTGACTATCACGTTGCTGCGCCGTTTCAGACTGTCTCAGTCGGTAAAAGAATACGTTACACAATGATAAATTTCCCCACCTCTGCAAACATGAAATATTACATATTGCCCTCCAGAAATGCTTTCTTTCTTTTTTGCGATAGTCTAGTCCTTGGAATGCTCTGTCTATGTTCTACTCGTTCAAAGACCTCTTCAAACCAGTTCCCGAAACAACAAGAGAATTACATTCTGGGTAAGAGCACAAACAAGCAACATTTATTTTTGATTTTAAACCTGGGATAAGGGCGCTTAAATTGATTCGAAAAACAGTGCACATGAAAATCGACAATAATTTATATGTTATGAGACTATCTTGGCCGGTTTACATTATTTCCTCTTTAAAGGCTGAGTCATTCGGTACTTTTCTATTAATTTCCTTCGAAA